CTTGGCCCTGGCTCGGGAGGATGCTCTGTGCCCAGTGGAAGAGGGTGTTCGAGGGTAGGGTCTGACGCGGATGTATCCTGCGCGTTCATGCCGGAATTTGGAGGATTGGGAGACAGAGTGCTATCGGTGTCGTTCGACGAAGCCATATGCATGTGGGATCGTATGGCGAGGGTCACCTAGATCACCTATATGCAAGAACTGTGGCGGTGGGTCAGCGAGTTCGCTGGCGGCACTCGAGTTAGAGCTCGAGGAGGTCTTGAGGAGTACCAGTACGAGTTCACTCACCACGACGGACCTCGCGGACTGCTATATACCAGTACTGGTACTTCCAGGTGCGCTCAACCTACTTGTCATAATGATACTGTGCGGCGTGCCTTGCCAACTCGGGATCGATATCATTAAAAATCGTGGCGGATGTCACTGTCTCGGCTCTAAAGCTATGCGTGAATTAATGCCGCCTCGAGACGTTGACGGGCGGCGGCACCGCATCCCAAGGACCGATATATCCTACCGCTTGCATACAGAGACACTGCCTTGCAATGTCTCCAGTAACGAACAGATTGTATGGAATTCATTAAAGAGTGTCGTCGGATTGCAGTCGCACACCGTGGAGCATAAAAAATGGACCGGCGAGTCATACTGCTCGGAGTGAGGATCGAACTCACGACCTCAGGATTACCCACCATCGACAGTGGTCACACGATCGTATGAGACCTGCGCTCTAACCAACTGAGCCATCCAAGCGATGTCTGTAATGTTTTTCCTATAGACAATACCAGCGGACAGCAGGCTGAATGAGTCGTGAACCAGAGTCACAACCGTAGTGCCATGTGCAGGATTAGAAACCTGGTACACAGATGGGCCGGAAAGCACAGCCCGCCCACGGTACGCATACGCAAAGAGGATGCTGCGGTCGTGCGAGGCTCAGGTACCCCAACTCGTGTGATACACGCAAGATGACACGGAAGTGGTGACAATGACACAGATCCTGGTGTTGCCATATACATACGCCGCTCGCGTGACAGAAAGAACGCAGCCGATATGCCACCGAACGACCTGTGGACTTACCAGGACGCCTCAAGGACGATAAGGACAGCCAGGGCATGCAGCCGAGGATCGACGTGTGATGGTAGTGCCAGCAGACGTTGCTGAGCAGGCTCAGTCGGGCAGCAGGGAGAGCGCCGAAGAGAGAGCGGGAAGGGGCGTGGGAGCGGTGTGACGGAGTGTGAAGAGGCTGCGCGGAGCCATTTTGGGCGTTTGACTGGCCAAATGCGGGTGTCCAGCGTCGCGTGGGGCTCCGGCGTAGTAGATAAGAGGGCGGGGACGCGCGGACGGCTCTTTCTCCCCAACCATCACCTCCCCCTCTTCGCCGTCGGGGAGTCCTCTGCATCTCACTCCCGCTTGTCTCCCTTCCATTCCCTTCTTCCAGCATGCGTCGTTTGTTCGTCGCCGCTGTCGCTGCCGCCGGCCTTGCTGGCGCACTCGCTCACGACTCTCATGCTGCGCCCCGTCGCAAGACCATGAGCTTCGGCCCTGTTCTCCCCCACGCTGCGTACCACACCAATCCTGTCTACCATGCAAGTCTCCTCCGTACCAGCCAAGACCCCTACGAGGTCGCTCGTCTCTTCGTAGAGGATCTCGTCCGCGATATCCCCGACGGCTCCTTCCAGATCCGTAAGGATTCGTACACCGACGCCGCCACCGGTGTCACCCATGTCTTCGTCCGTCAGTACGTGAATGGCATCGAGGTCGCTGACGGCGACATCAACCTCAACATCAAGGATGGTGTCGTCCTCTCCTACGGTGACTCGTTCTTCCGTCCCAAGGGTGCACAGCTCTTCGGTGCGCAGCCCGCTGTCAACCCCCACGCCGAGTACTGCGAGTCTCTCGAGAAGGAGATCTCCTCCCAGCTCCAGGACATCGACCCCTCGTCGGGTGTTGACAGCGACCGTCGCAGGATTCTCCAGCAGCTTGGATCCCTCTACGACTGGAACTGCGAGACCGTGCAGCTTCCCGACATCATGGCCGACCACCCTGACTTTGCTGCCGCGGAGGACTACGCTTCAAGCGACGTCACCAAGGCCCTCCTGCAGTTCATGATCGCTGCCACTCCCAACCAGGAGCTCAGCGCCGAGCTCATCGGCAACCCAGGCAAGTTCCTCCCCGAGATGCGTGTCTCCTTCGAACACCACCTTTCCGGGAACCACCCTCCTTCTTTCACCGTCGAGAACGTGCCCGACGCCGTGAACCCCGTTAAGGGCCGTCTGGCGTTCGTCCAGGTTCCGACTGGTGATGCGACCTCCCTGCAGCTCGTTTGGAAGGTGTGTCTTGATACTGACCTGGTCCCCGAATCAGGCTGACTGTTCTTTTAGTTTGAGGTGGAGATGCAGGACAACTGGTACGAAGCTGCTGTCTCCGCTGAGGCGCCGCACCGGATCATCTCGGTCGTCGACTGGGCTTCCGACTCCCCCGTTCCCTTCGCGCCCATTCCCAAGGAGCCGGAGGGTGCTACCTACAACGTCTTTGCGTGGGGTATCAACGACCCCTCAGTTGGTGAGCGTTCCATCCAGAAGGAGAACTTTGACTCGCTCGCGTCCCCTCTCGGTTGGCATGCCCTCCCCTACTCGAACGACCCTCAGTCGCTCCATCTCCGCCTGAAGGACTCGTCTAAGATCCGGAACACGACGACGACTTGGGGCAACAATGTCTTCGCTCATGAGGACTGGGAAGGGCGTAACAACTGGGTTAACAACTACCGTCCCGATGCTGCCGACAAGAGCTTCGACTACAAGTACAGCCCGAAGGAGACTGATACCGAGGACGCGCTCGAGGAGGCGAAGAAATACATCAACGCCACCATCACGCAGCTGTTCTACACCTCTAACATGGTTCACGATCTCTATTACCGCTACGGCTTCACCGAAGTTGCTGGTAACTTCCAGCAGCACAACTTCGGTCGTGGTGGCCAGGAGAACGACGCAGTCATCGCCAACGCCCAGGATGGCAGCGGTTACAACAACGCGAACTTCATGACCCCGCCTGATGGTCAGAACGGTCGCTGCAGGATGTACCTCTGGAACACCGCCAACCCCTACCGCGATGGTGATCTCGAGGCTGGCATCGTCATCCACGAGCTTAGCCACGGCTTGAGCACGCGTCTTACTGGTGGACCTGCCAACTCCGGTTGTCTTGGCTGGGGCGAGTCTGGTGGTATGGGTGAAGGCTGGGGTGGTAAGTGTGCATGTCCTGTGCGTGTTACAGAATCTGACCGCAATATATAGATTTCCTGGCGACAACCATCCGTAGCAACAAGAACTACTCCGACTACGCTATGGGCTCTTGGGCCGCGAACATGGAGAAGGGTATCCGTAACTACCCGTACTCTTTGGTATGTCTTTTGGTTTCGTATCGTACGTCCGCTGAACTCATCCTCCGTGTCCGTAGAACGAGACTGTCAACCCGTCGACCTACAAGACTCTTGACAAGCCCGGCTACTGGGGTGTCCACGCGATTGGTGAAGTCTGGGCCCAGTTCCTTTGGGTTGTCTCCCAGCGGCTCATCGAGAAGCACGGCTTCGTCGACGACCTCTTCCCGCCCAAGCCGCTCGAGGACGGCACCATCCCCGAGGGCGACTTCTACCGCCCTCAGGAGTACACCGAGGACGGGAAGCCGAAGCCGCTCGTGCCCAAGCATGGCAACTCGCTTATCGTCCAGCTTGTCCTCGATGGGATGAAGCTCCAGCCGTGCCGGCCGTCGTTCTTCGACGCCCGTGACGCAATCCTCGCCGCGGACAAGACGCTCACTGGCGGTGAGAACTTCTGCGACATCTGGGAGGCGTTTGCCTCGCGCGGTCTCGGTGTCGACTCCAAGGTCGAGGGCCGCACGCCGTGGGGTGGAGGAGTCCGCACGAACGTGAGTCCGCCTCTGTCCTTTTTTCGATGCTGCTTGAGCTGAACGAAATGTGTTAGGGCTATGTCACCCCCGCCGAGTGCCGCAGCGACGTACCTCCTCCCGAGGACCCCGCTCCGGGCGACGGTGATGATGACGATGATGATGACGACGACGACGACTGGCCATGGCTCGCATGGGTCATCCAGAAGTCGACGGCGTACTCGTTGTCGTGGCCATTCTGAGCTCGAGGCTGCCGTTCCTCACTCTCCTCTTCTCCCTTTTCCGCACTCCATACCCATCTGGGATCAAGTCCTTCGCTAGCGGTTTCGTCCATAGGTCGTCTTCCGTACGGCGCTGTGCCCGCTGTGGGTTCACGGTTCTGATCGCACATGGTGTCGTCGCGGGCATGGACTTTTGTCGTCTAGATTGACAGGGGAAGTGATGGAGAGGAGAGAGTGAGGTGGTGGTGAGCTCGTCGCCTCGCTGTACTTCTAGACGGTTACGTTCTCTCTTGTCGCTTGGATGGATCACCTTTTGTACTATCACTGCACATCTGTCTCTTACGGAATATACGTCCTCTAATGGATTTGGATCGTGGCGTGCTGCTGGAGAACGGTGCTCGGGATATCTGGATTGTCGCCGCGACGCGGGTGAAGCTTGATGAAGGGGAGCGCGTCAGGATACTCACATATCTGCCGTCAGGGATCCCCCCGAGGACGCGGAGGGAGAGCGGCGCTGGCTGCCTCGTGGTTGGTGGATATCTCGCTCGTGCGGTAGCTGCAGCCTACCAGCCAGAAGCTGCGTGCTTAATAGTGATAGAGCGGGGAACAGCACATCAGAAACTAGCTTGGCCGAAGGACGTCAATAGCCATTCTTAGAGTTTCGCGCTCTTCGCGACCATGGGCGCGGGGGTGGATATCCGGATAAGCGTCTCAGATATTGTCGTTTGCGAAGTCCGCGTGGTATCCAGTGTCAGCGTCAATGGGGTTCGGGCCCGTAACCTACAAGTTTCCCGATGGCCTGGATGGCTCTCATCCAAAATCACAGGCCTTGACAGGCCCCGGGGCTCCAGAAGAACCGGATGAAAAACCATTTCTTTTAGCTTTTATTGCTCGGAGTGAGGATCGAACTCACGACCTCAGGATTGCCCATCCGAAGATGGTCATACGACTGTATGAGACCTGCGCTCTAACCAACTGAGCCATCCAAGCTTGGAGGTCAGACGTATTGCGCAGTATAGACGGAGTACACATGATCCTTGGCGAAAAGCATCTGAGAGGGTATTACTGTAGCGTATCCGGATGATGTGATATCTATGTATACAAACGTCTCATCGTGCACCAAGGTAAGTCCGTAACGTAGCCGATGAGAGGGGTCCCGAATCCCAACACATTGCACGAAAAAGCCTGAGGGCCGAAACCACGAGCAGCTGGCGGGCCGCGGCTCAGAGTCAACGTCAACATGAGCACCCCCCGCCCTCGGCCTCCTCCGGCTCCCTGCTCAGGTCGATGCTCCCGGGCATGTCGTCGCCGCTCCTCCGCCCGGAGTTGGACTTGCGCACGTTGTTGGCGCCGGTCTGCCAGAGCTCGGGCGTGTCGAGGATGCGCTCGACGACGTCGCGGAACGCCTCCTGGACGCCGACGGCGGTCTTGGCGGACGCCTCGACGAAGAGGGCGTTCATGCGCGTGGCGAAGGCCTGGCCTTCCGACGCGGGCACTTGGCGCGAGAATTCCTGTGCGGTGTGTATGGGGGTGCATGTGGTGCGTGGGATGAAGTGAGGCGAGGGGGGCGTTTCGAGGGGTGCACGTGGTGGAAGGGTCCCAAATACGCCGCGGCCAAGGATAGTGACATGAGGAGGAGATAGTAGCGGTAAGTGACTGTCTGGATTTTGACCACAAGGGGCACCAGGGCCACGGCGACGTACCTTGTCCACCTTGTTGCCCACAATGATCTTGACGACCGCGCTCGAGACGTACGTCTCTAGCTCCGTGAACCACTTCGGGAGCGCGTCGAACGACTCGCGGTTCGCGACGTCGTACACGAGGATGATGCCCTGCGCGCCGCGGTAATACGAGGACGTGATTGTCCGGAAGCGCTCCTGCCCAGCAGTATCCTATCCCGATAGTCGGGCGGTGAGCGTCCATGTGCGGGATGAAGCTGCGAGTGGGGACGCACCCATATGCTCAGCTTGACCTTCTTCCCCTTCACGTCCATCTTGTGTACCTGCAGCGGAGGAACAAGTGAGCAAGACTGGCGGTGGAAATGGGGGGACACCCGGATAACCGCGGAAGGTCCGGGACGAGTCCTAGCATTGGTACATTACGCAACGACGGACGGAGCACAACGCTGGTAAGCCGACAGCCCAGCACCGCTGCCGTATGGATGGAGACTCATGAACTCTTTGGCGAAGGGAACCTGCCTCTCTGCAGGCCTACGAGAGAACGCAGACTGGAATAATGGATTGTACTCACCCTGAAGTCGACGCCTATTGTCGCGCTCGATTCATCCTCCGGCAGCCATTGCTCGTCCGAGAACCGGAGCAGCAGACTGCTCTTCCCGACGGACGAGTTCCCGATGAGGAGCAACTTGACGTTGATTGGTGCGTTCGCCTTATCCTGTGACTGAGCCATTGCGTGGTGTCGTTACGTTCGTGTGTTTAATCGTATTCGTGACCAAAATGCGAGAATGTGGACCAAGATTACAGAATGTAGGAGACGAGTATTATCTTCAGAACGCAGAGATATGTCGAGCGAGATGAGATTCACGTGAAAGCAGTTGGACTATGCACAGTACACGACTTGTCCTGCGGCCGCAGACGATATCTAGGACGCTGAGAAAGAGACAGAGGGAGAAGGACTGAAGCAAGACGGGCTGGAGGTGGCAGGAAACAACCTCGGTGGCTCGGCTGAACGGACCATATAAACGCGACCCCCGCGCGGTCCTTGCCCCAAGACGCCCATTCTGCGTGACATCATCGCTGTAACCTCCGAGTCTGTCAGTACTAGGAAGTATAGGTAAGTACTTGTCAGCTTGTAGCATACTTCCTAGTCTTCAGGAAATACATCGTTTAGTTATAGCCGGATGTGTTGCGTTAGGGATAGACACATAACCTGAGGTGACCTGCACGCAAGGTATTAAAGGTGGGCTATCTTGATTGCTTATGATCAATTACAGATAGTAGAGCATCGAGCCTGTGCTTGGATGGCTCAGTTGGTTAGAGCGCAGGTCTCATACAGCAGTATGACCGCCATTAGGCGGGCAATCCTGAGGTCGTGAGTTCGATCCTCACTCCGAGCAATGATCACTGTTTGAACTAGACTATTGCTGCTCTTTTGTTCCTTTTTGTTTTGTAGGCCCGCTCACAGACTGCAGTGCTAAAGCGGAGCTTTACATGTATTTATTGAAACGTGTGGTATACAGAGTACAGAAATATGAGAGGGCACGACCGATGGTCCAGTATCTACTGGTACAAGATCTACTACCTCCGACCAATTCCCTTGTACATCGCTACTTGGGAAGTGGAGGAAGAGTCAACTGAGATCGTGATACAATTACACTAGCAGCAAAGAAGAAGAAAAAGCTTCGTACAAATGGAGTAGGACTGCGACCCGGCTGGAGCAGCCGCAAGCTCAGGAGTACAGCTGGGAGTTGTACGGCGGCCAGATCTTGTCCTCTGCCTGCTTTCTATAGGCCTCCTTGGACATGAGCGGGCTTCCATCCTCGGGGCGATTCCGTAGGGTTTTGGCCCAGAACTCCCGAGCCTCAACAGCGAGCGGGTCTTCAGGGACGTAGTCCTTGCGTTCTTCCTTCGCGACAGCCTTGCCTTTGCCTTTGCCTTTGCCCTTCGCCCTCGCGAGCGCCGCGCTGACGCTCTGGCCAAAGCTTGTGTCCGCCTCCGCCTCCTCGCCGGCGCCGTCCTTGTTCTCCTCGTCGACGACCTCGTCCGAGCGGGGCGGCCACGCCATCGGAATGTCCATTTGGCTCGACGGAGGCGGGACGTAGTACGGAAAGATTGCCTCCCAGCGCGCGCGGTAGACTTCGTCCGGAATCGGCGCGGGCGGGGGCACATTATCCTCAGCTTCCTTGGTAGTGGCGACCATCTTCTCCACGGCAGCTAAGACCTCACTGACCTCCTTGCCGTTGGGGTCAATATTCTCGACGTCGCTGCCGTCGGGGATCCAGGAGGGGTCGCTGTCTAGAATGACGGCCGTGTTCCCAACCTCAGCGCTCTCTTCAGCGACTGGGACAACAGCCTCAGCCTCAGCCTCAGCAGCCTCTTCAGCGACGGGCGAGAGGCGTGCAGGCTCGGGACGCGGAGAGCCCGACTCGCTGCTGGAGGCGTGGGTCGACGGGAGGGGCGACGACGGCGGGAGGGGAGAGTAGCGGAACACAGGACCGGGGGTAGTCCGGCGACGCTTGAGCTTCGGGAAGTCGATGAAGACGGTCTCCGAGGCCGAGGAGGCAGCCTCGATACGACGCTTCTGCGCGCGGAAGGACGCGTTGTTGGAGGGAGAGCTAATTACTGAGCTGGAGCGCGGCTCGACCGGCTCGGTGGGCACGAGCTCTTCGGATCCAAGCTCAATATGCTTGATACGCTTCGTACGCGGGGCACTAGGCCTGCCACAAGGGTATCAGGCTTGTGTTTGGGGATCCACAATTGAAAGAGACTCACCCATTCGGCACGACCGGCGCACCAAATATCCTCGAGTTCAGCTGCAGAGGCTGAGAGGGCGGGGGAGCCTGGCGGAAATGCACGACACCCTCCTCGTTCCGGCCCGGGACGACCAGCAACCCTGTCTCCTGACGCAAGAACTTCTCATACTTCTCGCCCTGTTCCACCCCAATTTCCCGAAGCATACGGTCGTAGTTCTTCAGAAGATCTCCGAGCTCGAGCTCGACCGTGGTTGAATGCAAGAGCCTGTGGGCAACTGCATTCTTGACGTCCCCGAGGAGTCGCTTGATGTAACCGTCGGCCTCGATGTGACCGTACATTTCTTCGAACCAGTAGTTGTCGTTGGGGTCATGCGGTGGGTAGTTGAAGACGACGTTGTTCTCGGTTGTGTAGGGGAGCTGGACATCGTAGTCGTCATCTTCCTCGTTCTGCTCATTCGGAGGGGGAGAAGGTGGTTGGGCACGTGATTGGAGTGGCTGGGGCGAGGACGAAGCCTGTCGTCGACGCGCGGGTTTCCGTCGGCGGAGCGGAGGAGTTTGGGGAGTCAGCCCTTGGAGGGGAGACGACTCAGGTCGCAGGAGCGCTTCGGGGGCATCGGAAGGGATTGCTTTCCACGCGGCCACCAACGGGCGGTCAGGACGGCAAGGGCAGGTGGATGGTTGGGGAGACTCACCTAGCTGGGGCGCTACGTACGCCGGGTTACGGAACGGAGAGAGGTTGGGGTCTTCTGAGATAGAGTGCTGCCGCTGATGCAGGCCCTTGCCCTTGTTGGAACGAAGTGGCCGTGCCGGAGTCGTTTGGATGGTGGATGGAGCCCTCGGCGACGAACGCCTGGAAGCGGGAGCGAATGACGGCTGGCGGGAGCTAGAGGCTGTGGGTGCAGTAGAAGAGGCACGCAAGCGAGAGCTGCGGCGGGGAGCTGAGGTCTCAACGACGGGGTCCGACGTCGCGACCGGGATGTCCTGTTCGGACGTGGTTAGAGCAATGGTGTAGTGTCTCTTCAGAGGCGCCATAGTGTGCTATATCGAGTGAACAGTGGATGAGAGATGCTGCTTAACTGCAGGAGGGTATCAGACTGGGAGAAAGTGGTGGTTGCGGTGGTGGTTGGGATACAAGCAGCTTGGGCTGGTGCTGGGTTGCAAGGACCGCCTTTTCTTGTTCGCCCGTTTGGGAAAGACCCATCAAACAACGTGGCAGATAGACGCCAAAGCGCTTAGATGCCAGAGTCTAGACTTCCTGTGCGCCTTACCTTCGCCTTCCTGGTGCGTCTCAGTACACTGTGCTTCACGGTGCTCTCCCCACCAACTCGCAAATATTCAGCAGAGCGATTAACCTGGTCCATAAAATACAGAAGTGTGAGATGGTCGGACATACTGGTACACGAGAGCGCCCGAGCGCAGCGGATCGGGCATCGATAACGGGTAGGTAGCGGTCGGTTACGCATACGGATCCTCCTCCCGCTCGGGCTGGTACACGTATGTGTTCTGGGCCGCCATGACGAGGGGGTTGGTAAGCTGCTCCGCTTGCGCACTAGATGAG